AAAGACACATGTATCAGAAAGACACAAGTATCAGAAAGACACAAGTATCAGAAAGACACAAGTTCCAGAAAGACACAAGTATCAGAAAGACACAAGTTCCAAAAAGACACAAGTATATTGTGCAAAAATCGTGTGCACTGATATAATACACATCATATTTCTGGTCAAGTGTTATTGATATGTAAATGTCTTGTTTCTTAACCCTTTGTTGACCATTGTGTAGAACAGCACTACTGGTTGAACACTCCTCGATAGATCAGTGTCTCTCAACTCCACAGTTTTGACATACAAAGTGACAGAGCAGTTCACTTACACGAGAAGACACAGGTAAGTACATTGCAGATTGTTTATATATGCAGAATAACATATTGATAGCTGTATTTTTCATTCTGACTGCGGGAAAATATTTTCAAGAGTTTTCAGTTCAATTGAGTGTGAAAAAAGAACACCAATTCAGCAGCAGGAGCAAAAGAATTTAGATAATCATATTTTTGAGGAAAGAATGTAAACTTTATTATTATCACAACCTCATTAGGATTATAATTAAAGTCCAGAAACAGTTTAAAGCTCACTGTTGATATGAACAAGAGGGTACAATGTGCATCATGTACAGCTCAAAGATATTCACAATCAACACAAAAATCAATAGACTGGAGTCCATTGTCATGAACACAATAGTTTCTTGAGTTCTTTGTACATGTATAACAGTACAGTCACAGTCCCTCTATCATGATAGAGGGACTGTGGTACAGTCCTTCTACATGATCGCATGCCTATGTATCAGTTCACACAATTTTATAGCCTTTGTGGTTGTTTGTTAGGTCAAAACCTGTCACTTTCCTCCAAGGGAGGTGCAAGCTAGTGTAGGCATTCTATTGGTCAACAGCTATGCAAATTATTTGTAATCATGGAACTAAAATGTATACCACCCTGGTTACTGTACTGATAAATCAATGAATTGTATAAGTAAGGTTGGTTATATCTTAGTTCATAGCATAGAACTGTGGTTTATACCGTATTACCCCGGGCACGCGCCCCTCCCCGGGCAAGCGCCCACCCCCCTGTTTTCACAAAAGTTACATGTTGGGGACATCCTCGGTTAAACGCCCAGGGTGATTTTTAGCCAAGAATGGGGTCAACAATAAAGTTTTATTTGTCAAAAACGAACGCGTTTAAATAGTGTGTTTGTTACGGTAGTGTGGTGGCCTGAAAAGGGCCGTTTTGTTTGTGTTTTTACGTAAAAACTCATTGGAAGAGCATCGCCAGATGGACGCGGAGCTCTTTGGGAACGACCAAAAACGTATCCGTGTCCAGCCATTGGTTGGCCACGTAGAGGTCAAAATACGCGTTCTATTTTTACGCGTTAAGTTAGGCTCTTAAGTTTCACCCCCTCCGGAATGTTCTACTTTCGCAGTCTAATCGCAGGTTTTTCGAAAAACGTCAAAAAAAACACAAGAATTAGTGGAAATGTTTCTATTTGGGGCGGATTATTGATAGAGGATAATGTCTTTATTACAAAAATGCTGAAAAACTGTGAGTTTTTGCCTTAGTTATTTTTTTATCGGCGAAAAACTGCGAACTCGGCAAATTTGGTTGCACAACTTCCCTCTATCATATACACCCAGCGACACCGATGCCAGCTGACTGTGAACGGGAGCTAGCACTTTTGAGACATCACGTCGTAAACTTGCTACTTTCTTTCCATCCTTCATCACAGCTA